GTGTATGCATGTGTGTCTGTGAGTGTGTGTGTGTGTGCATGTGTGATTCTGTGAGTGTGTGTGAGCATGTATGTGAGAGTGTGTTTGTGTGTGTGCACATGCATGTGTACTATGTCTTGGGGATGCCTCTGGTCTCTGCTTCCCTGGAAATAAGAGTACGGCATACATCATCATGATTGACTCTAGGAAATCAGACTCAGTTCCTGCCTACAATGCAAGCATGTTACCAACTATGCCGTCTCCCCAGCTCCGGGGCCTTCTTACTAAAGGATGTTGGGGTTGTGGTAATGTCACCTACTACTGATGAAGAAGGGTCATGTTACTTTCATTGGTTAATAAAGAGACTGCCTTGGCCTTTTTGATAGGCTAGCCCTTAGGTGGGTGGAGTAGACAGAACAGAATTGTGGGAGAAAGAAAGCAGAGGCAGGCAGTCGCCATGACTCTCCTCTCTGAGACAGCTGCAGGTTAGAATCCTCCTGGTAAGCCACCACCTCGTGGTGCTACACAGATTATTAGAAATGGGTTAGATCAATATGTAAGAGTTAGCCAATAAGAGGCTACAGATAATGGGCCAAGCAGTGTTTAAAAGAATACAGTTTCTGTGTTGTTATTTCGGGGGTAAAGCTAGCCGGGCGGGCGGCAGGAAGCGGCCCGCTGCTCCTTTTACATACTATTTCTTGAACACTGAGTGGCTAGTGAGGAGCACACTTTACTGGATGCTCTTGAAGCTGTTGGGCTACACTGCATACTCCCCTGCCCCAGAACATACATCAAGTATAACTCCTGACACAACTTATTGTGATCTCCCCACTCATCCAGTGCGTGAGCTCTAGAGGACACAGCAATGTCTCTAGTGGACGCTGACCCTCCAGACACTCACTGCAACTGCCCTGTATCTTTGCTATGGTTCATGCAAAAACAAGCTCTTGTCGCTTAGGTTCAGAATTTCTTACACAGTCTCTCTCTCTCTCTCTCTCTCTCTCTCTCTCCCTCTCTCTCTCTCTCTCCTTCTTCCTCCTTCCTGCCCCATCTCCGTGTGTGTGTGTGTGTGTGTGTGTGTGTGTGTGTGTGTGTGTGCCTGAGTGCATGCGTGTATAGGGTTCTCCATATGTCAGGGTTCTAAGGATCTAGTACACACCTTTTCACGTTTATTCAATGAATTGTGTATCATGGAATGTCAGCACACATCCTTTAGGCTAAAGTGACTGTGGTTGATTTTAAAGTTGTCACTCGCACACCCTCAAGAGCTCACTTTGTCTTCTCGGGACTCTAAAACTCTTCATGAGGACGCTGTTCTCAGGCTCAGGGAAGACAATACTCGGTCCCTCCGCCTAGGTCCCAGTCAAGTGCCTCTATATTATTGACACCTGTGTCTTATGACCACGGTGGGGTTCTCCTTGCTCTCTGAACCCTTCATCTGATGGTCAGAACTTTGTGTCTGAAATCACGGGTACCATGTGGTGCAGCCCTCACCCACCTACTTAACAATGATGTGTTCCCAAGTCTCACCTGATGGAGCTTGATCACGTGACCTTCAGGGAACCTACTCATCCCCACATCCTGTCCCAAGCACCCAGCCCACAGTTAGGCTAAGGAGCTGCCGATAGCATGCTCAAAGCAAACATATTGCAGCTCAGGCTGGCCTGGAACTCACTATGTAGCTCAGGTTGGCCTAGAAGTCTATAAAACCCTCTTGTCTCAGTTTGTGGAGTGTTGTGATCATAGACATAAGCCACCTTGTCCAACTTTATCTTTTGAAATGAGACTCATTTAGTAGCTGGTTTCTCATTATTAAAAAGTAGTTTTTTATTAAAGTTTATTTTCTAGATATTTTACCCATGCTGTATGGTATTCAAGTCTACTTTTTTTTCTTTTAACTTTATTTTTATGTGTATAGATGTTTTACCTGCATATTGCTCTGTGCTCCATGTGGGCGGTACCTGCAGAGGCTAGGGAAGGACATTGGATCCCCTAATGCTGAAGAAATAGCCGTTAGCCACTCTATGGATGCTGGGAATCGAACCCAGGCCCTCTGGAAGGGCAGTCAGTGCTGTTAACCACCGAGCCACCTTTCCAGTCTCAGCAAGGCTCTTTTCTCAGGTTTCCAGTCCTAATGCACGCAGTGGTGCACGCTCGGTTTCTGCTGCATTCTAAGCTTTTGTTACTCGATTGCCATTAGTCTGGTTCTGCTTACTCAGGCACTGGTCATATCTTATAAGTTACACGTTAGATTGTCCCAAGTCCCTGGAGGCTCATCCGCTGCATATCTCAGGGCACAGAGGGCAGCTCCAGTTCAGAACCCCCAGACTCAAGCAACCCAGCACTCTGAAGTACGCCTGTCACCTAGGTTTGAGTCCCACTGCTCTAGTTTATGGCTAGTGTGTCTAGGGATGTGGTTGCATTTTCATTTCCCCTTTCTCTGGAAATAGGATATGGAGTCAGTCTGGTCTTTGGGGTAGCCTTAGGAGTGCTTTCTTTCTCAGCCTACTTCCTGAGAGGGAAGGGCTTTGGGGTACATATCTGCAAGAGAGGAGAATCTGCTGCCGGCTCAGGGTGGGATCTGGTCTGAGCTCTGGTTTCTTGGTCTCCGCTCAGGAAACCACGCACGCACACACACACACACACACACACACACACACACACACACACACACAGAGAGAGAGAGAGAGAGAGAGAGAGAGAGAGAGAGAGAGAGAG